ATGGAAACGAACCAGCACAAGATGTGGAAGCAGATATTACAAGAGGAATCATTCGTGTGAGAGATAAAGGTATAAAGTATGATATGCATTGGAATGAAACAGACCAATTAATTGAGCCTAACGGTGCGATGTTGACAAGTTACATTGGGGCACTTATTCGTTCATAAATTCCAATTACTTGCGATAATTGGAGAATTCCTTCGTTGAAACCGGCTAAAGAAAAAATATGGAGCGAGATATAGGTATGATATCTGATATTTTTTTAATTATGTTGACGGTTATATCTTTAAATTACTTATACTAACATACTATATGTATGTTGATTTGTTTGTAGAGGTCTTTTAATATTGATGACGACCGGAAAAAAATATTGTCTTCAATTGGCCGGAAAACGACTAAGAGGATTTCGAGTGTTTTTAACGAACAAGTTTCTTAAGGATTCTGATGGAAAATTTGTCTAATCAGAGCGTCCAAAGAAGTATGCTGATCTGATTTCACTTGAAGAATGGGAAACATTTGTTGCCAAGCGAAGAACCCAAGAATTCCATGTAGTTCTAACTTATCATGAACAATGTATAATATATATACTTCTTTCACATGAGTTCTGATATGACTTAAACTTGTTTTTTTAGGCTGTGACTGACGTAAATCGGCAACGAGCATCAAAACCCGCGTATCCATACAAAAAAGGGCGTTTGGGATAAGCATGCTTACAACAAAAAATTGTAAGTATATATAAATTCTTTAATATGATATAGTTAGAATACAAGAAAAGTTAAGCTTATTATCTATCTTAATGTGTAGTTAGAAGAGGAGAAAAGTGATGCAACATCTCTTCCGTACCATGTTTTGTGGAAGGTTGCCCGTGTGGGTAGAGATGAAGTCGTTTAGAAAGAAGTTCAACAAGTATTTGAGCAATGTGTAAGTACAACATTAGTTATGTCATAAAATCAAAAGTGTATAATATATTTATGCTTTTATCTATATTTCAGGAGAGTCTATCCCAGACTATAACTGCAACTGAAGACGATGATTGCAAGAGCGTACTGAGTCGAGTGTTAAATGTTCCTGAGTATTCTGGTCATGTGAGGGGTAAGAAATTTGGTGTCACTCCAACAAAATTATATAAGCAACCAAAGAATAAAATTCCTAGCAATAAACAAGTGATGGAGTCGTTGGAAGAATTGAAAGCTCAAATTCGTGAATTACGAAAGGACAAAGAGAGATACATATCAGAAAGGCGCGGTCCAGAGTGTAAAGATACTAGTGACAAAGATAGTATCAATTGTAATTTTCAGCAGAAGCTTCCTGAGGTAACTATATATATTACATTGAAATTAATTTAGCACAATTTTCTTAATTGACACATTAATCATATTCATTATTGGTTTAGGGCATTTCACTTTGTCGCCTCTATTTATTGTCACCTACTTATCGCATGGTTGGCAAGGGAAAAGTGAATAACACTTTGGGAGACTTACTTCACCATAAACCGCTCCCTGCTGAATTTTTGAAAGTATCGATTGATATTGCTTTATAGGGGGTGCGTTATTGCCAATACCAGACGATGTTTCGGATGCAACATTGGTGGGAGACGCAATAGGATCGTATGTTGCATGACCGTCAAATCTCATTTTCATAGATGATGAGGTAGGTTGAACACCGTTATGAACCTTGTAGTATTCAAATTTTTTATGACCCATATATGTAAGTTATTCTTACATTTACGTACCATTTATTTACATGATGATCTTATACTTATACAAAATCCAAATCAAAAGATAAGGGAATTATGCGGGAAACCGAGTCAGCTGCATAAGAAAAACAGGTACTACTACATTAATTGATATATATGCATAGAAAATGTCAATTATATTCTCTGACTTCAATAGCTTTACGATCTTATACATTAATTACCTAACTTATATGACTTTTAGGTTCATGCTCAAGAGTTGCAACATGTTAGCAAGGGTAAGATGCCTGAATCTATTAAGGTGTCCTACAGAATAAAGGTCGAGGCAAAAAAAGCATTTGTTCCTCGATTTAGGTCGTGCCTTGAAACATATGTAGGAACAACAGATATGGTGGAGGGTGGCATTCGTCAAATACCTGTAAATGAAGGTATTTTCGGTTTTGCTTATGCCGAAACAATTGCTAAAGAGGATTTGGATAAAAGAAATAGTGTATTATCTGGATTCATTGGATGGTGATCAAATAAAATATCCTGATATGAAGAATATGGTTGATACATAAGTGATGAGATATATTGTTTTGAATAATTATCTTTATTTATTATGTGAGATTGTTCTAAATATTCGTTTATATTATGTTAGTGCTATACAAATATTCCGATTATAAAGACAAGCAACCGTGCCAAAAAGAAAGACTAACAACATTAGCTAGATCAGAGTGCAGGTATATTTTCACAATTTTGGCTGTTATAGTGATTCTACTTGATAAAACTAGTTAAACTATATATCCTGATATATATTCATTTGTTTTTTCCATTTACAGTGTCCTCATTAGCGCAATGGGATTGATTGCGGATATTTTGTATTGAGGTTTATGAAGGAAATTATTCATTCAGGTCAAATAGAGATTCCATACATGGTATGGATTTATAAGTTATATGATTTATTTTAATATTTAACCGATATTTCATCTGAGTAATTAGTTTTAAAACTAAATCATGCATATTATGTTATATTATGTAGTACTTTGATGACTTCAAGTGTGGTACTTACTCGAAAGAAAAATTGGAAGAAATTAAGGAGGAATGGTGTCAATACATTCTTGAGATGAGAATTGTATAAGGTATATATATTGTATTTCTGTCTTTTGATCGGAGTTTATAGAGATTTGTGTTGTTGTGATGTTATGTACATACTACTGGATAATTATATTTCTGGAAGTCGTATGTAGTTTTGGAATTTGTTGATATACTTCGATCTAGAAGTTAGTTGTTGTGAGGATCCGGAAATATGGAATTGTAATTATATATATAGGGAATGTATTTATGAAGTTATTGATTTTGTAATTGTATGTATAGTGAATGTATTTGTGAAGTTGTTGCGAGGATCGACATGTGTTGAATTACAATGATTATAAGCAGGTTTATGTGTTGAATTACAATGATTATAAGCAGGTCTATGTGTTGAATTGTTATGATATATATAAGACCAAAGTGTTGAAATAAAGGCTTGTGGTAAACGTAATTGTTATAAGAAGGTATATGGGAAAAATTATAAAAAATGGTGCAACATAATTCAACAAAAATCACTTCATAAAAATATAAAAAATAGACAGCGCTTTTACAAAAAAAAACGCTATGAAAAAGTGATTTTTTTTTGAAAAAAAAGTTTAATAACGTGAAGAAAAGACAGCGCTTTTCTTGAAAAAGCGTTGCTAAAAGGGGGGGGGGGGAAGACAGCGCTTAAAAAAGCACTGCTAAATATGGGGGAATAGACATCGCTTTTATTAAGAAAAGTGATGCTAAAGGTTTTTAGTAAATACACTTTAGACAACGCTTTTTAAAAGCGCTGCTAAAGGTGGGGGAATAGAGAGCGCTTTTTTGAAAAAGCGCTGTTAAAAGGTATTCAACAAATACACTTTAGGCAGCGCTACTAAAGGTGGTGGGAAAAGAGATCGTTTTCTGGAAAAGCGTTGCTAAAAATGGGCCTATAGCAGTGCTTTTTACTTTAAAAAAGCGCTTCCTTTACCTTTAGCAGCGCCACTTTAGGCAGCGCTGCTAAAGGTCTTTTTTAGCATAGTGTCTCACAAATTTTGACTCATTTTTTTCCTACTCCAATAAACATAATCAAAATCCTCTATTAGCTTAAACAAATATTGCATTTCCGTTCTAGGACCCCTGGTGTCTTTTTGAATCTTACTCTTATGTTTTTATATATTTGGGTGATTCGAGTCACATTCTCTAGATCTCGTTCTTGCAATGATAACAATATGTTATTGTTCATCAGCATTAAGTCGACCTACAAACGAATGAAATTCAAATCTATTCGGTAAACCATGGTTGTGAAATTCATATGTTACGTCAATCTTCCAACGAGAATCATCTTTTGATAGTGTTAACCTAATTTTGAATGGACAACCACATTTCTTGGTAGCGCTTTGTGTTTCGCTATTTCATTCTTTGTATTTTCCACCTTTATCACAACCAAATATAACTTTGTCACTTCTTCCTCTCTTACCAATTTTGGTGTCCGAACGAGTTATTACAATAGTAACTTTATTCCTAATTCCAACCTCCCTAATCCACTTAGTCACTTCTTCTCGTGTATCAAATTTTTCTCTAGTCGAGAATATCTCAATCGTATCTACACATGTTTGGTTTTTATCGCATATCATCAAAGAAATATCCATATCTGTTAAACATAAGTGTGACAAAAATTAATAAAACTAAGAAAAAAATTAAAAAATGTGTTCCGAATCTCTTATTTTCAAGAAATCCGGTTACTAGAAAAACAACACCAGAACTCTTCTTTGTAAGTTATCCGAAACTTTAAAAACATAAATCGGAAAACTCATGTTGAAGTTATCCAAATTAATAATGCGAACCGGATAACTAATCAACAAATTATCCAGTGTGATAAATTTAAAAACCTGGTATCATTCCTTTAAATTTTTTGGTTTAGTTAAAAAAATCTAATTACCGTGGTAATGTTCACAAACGTACCTTTTAACTGATTTGAATGAATAGTAAAAAATAAAAAAATTAAAGTAAAATTAAAAATAGTAAATTTGAAATATTTGTAAAATTGTTAGTTTAAATGAATAAAAATGGAGTATGGGATAAAATTTTCTTCTATCAATCAAACAACCAAATAATTTTATACTTTTTTTTAAACTGAACCATACCCTAGTATTAACTTTAGTTTATTAATAAACAACCATTGACAAAGGAACACAAAAACAAAAAAATGCATATCCTAGTATTACTTTTAGTTTATTAATAAACAACCATTGACAAAGCACGGATGGTTTCAATACTTGGTACAATCTGTTGGCTTAAAGGTGGTAACATTGTTTTTTATGTCAAAGCCAACCAAAAAGTTTTGTTGAGCTACATTCCCATAGATGACAAGAGAAGAGTTTCCATTTTTCAGAAATGCAAAGCACAGAACCTCATGATCAACTTGATAAAAAGTGTTAAGAGCGTTCAATTGAACATCTGCTCCTCTAAAATGTGCAGTGATTATTGGAGCCTCCAACATATCTAAAGTGCCGTTGTAGCAGAAGGGGACAGGAACAAGTGCCTGGACCCTGACGATTTTAATCTCGATTTCATGAAACGGTGTTGGGATATTGTTGGAGAAGACATAACTTGTTGTATTCAAGAGTTTCATACTTCAGCAACATTACTGAAAGCCTTCTGCTCCTCATTCATCGCTCTGGTGCGCAAGATGGGCGAATTCGCTGCCTCTGAGGTTCCGATTTCCTGCTCTTTTTGCTATTTCTGACCTTAAATGTTGTTCTGTTGCTCAATGTGGGGAGTGGATGGATAACAATTGGAAGTAGAGGTTGCGGTTGGACGTTCATACAATGGAGCATCATTTGTTTGCTGACCTGAATGAGTTGTTAGCTGTTCTTGCTGATGTCAGCCAAAGCAGGGGTATACAGATCATTTCGTTTGGCCAAGTGTGCTTCCAAATCAATTATCGGTTAAGTCTTGTTATGACAGTATTATGCGTGGTCATGGTGGTTGTGATCTAGAAGTTATTCTCAAGACCATTCTAGATCTATTGTGGCATTCTAATATTTCAATGAAGGCTCAATTATTTGGGTGGTGTTTATTTTTGAAAAGGTTACCTTTGCGATCAAATCTGATGGCCAAAGGAATAATATCTAATTCACATGATTTGGTATGTGTTTGTTTTTAATGCCGTTGAATCTTGTAATCACTTATTTTTCTATTGTCCTAGTGTTTTGCAGTTTGCGTAGCGGTTTTTGATTGGGTAGGATTAGATTCGATTGATGAAGTCAAAATTTCTTGGCGTGGTTCTTAAAGCTAGAGGGTAAGTGTTTGAAGAATTCGACCACTTTGAATTAATTTGTACTTATTGGAGTATTTGGTGGGCGAAAAATAAAATTTTGTATAATGATGCATTTTGAATTCTGGAAGAGATTTTCCAGAGGATTGTATTTTTTTCATGGTGGCGCTTAGCTTTGTTAACTAAACGTAGGTTTAAGTATAATTATTATAAATGGTGTAAATCTCCACCAATTTTTCGTAGTTAGTTCTGATGGATTTTTTGTGATCATGGGTGAGACTATTACCTCTTGCTTGTATCTTTCTGAATTGGAATACTCCTAGTATTCTCTTTTAATATACTTGTGCTTATAAAAAAAACTTTGTTGTATATTTTCTATATTACTTGATAATTTAAATGGTATAAAAAAATTGAAAATTCATTTAATATTAAATTGGAAACTAAAAGGATCACGGAATATATAATATGGAATATTCAATTTTTATTGAATGTCCATAAATAAAAATTAAATTGTAGTACAATACATTATTTTCTTTCCTAATAAGTTTAGAATACTCTTTATGGATGTCCGGATAATATATACTATTACTTTATTTATTTTTGGTTTGGTATATATCCTCTTAAAAATATTTGTTTTCATTTAGGTAATATTTTTTAGGTTTCCCCGATAAATATTATTTCCAAAAATTATTTATTTTTGTAAATGCAAATATTCATCAACTGTCATGTTAATTATGTAAATATATAATATCATAAAATCATTTTAATAATATAGTCTGTATTTATCTAAGTAAAGATAAACACAATTTTTTTATTCATATTTTTTTAACAGTAAACATAATATATTAAAGAAGCGGAAATAAGGTAAAAGACTAAGTATATTAAAATTCATGGTTGGATCTTCATTCAAGTTAGTTTAAACTCCTAATTTTTGGAGTAGGGATCTGGTTAGATCGATTCAAATATGGATGAATCCTGTAATGATTGGCAACAGGTAAAGAGGAGGCGTTGGAAAGATACAAACTATCATAAACGTAGGCCGGAGGTGAGGTTCAACGGAAAAAGGAATGAGAATATTCATGACACAAAAACAAGTTTCTTTTTTACAATGTTTCCAGATTCACATGTAGCTAAGGAGATGTATAACATATTTAAGGATTTCGGTGACATAGATGAAGTGGTGATTTCATCAAGGAGAGACAAAAATGGCAGGAGGTATGGATTTTTAGGTTCTTCAATGTTACTGATGAGAGATCCTTGGCATTGAAGTTGGACGACATTGTTGTTAGCAACAAGAAACTGTATACCAATGTCCTAAGATTCCAAAGAAACATGCAGGGTGACAAAATGGACATGCAGGGCGACAAAAAGGATGAAAATCTTGAATATGGGGGCATCAACAGAAATGCATCTCATCACAATAATCTTACCAAGAGATTCATGGGGACACACAAATCCTATGCAGATGTTGTGAAAGATAAAAATGTGGACAAGGGTAAGACAATGTAGTGGAAGCAAAATCAACGTAAATTTGAAAAGAAACCAATCTTTACGCATTACAGTTTAAAACTAAGGAGGAGGACAATAGCATATTTCATAAAGCTTATGTTGGGATTATGGCAAACTCGGGTATGAAATACAACATTCAGGAATCGTTTCATCTGAAAGGATATTTCTCGATCAAGATCACTCCCATGAGTGCAAACTTATGTCTTATGGAAGAAATGGAAGAAGGAGAATTAAAGGCTTGGGCTGAAGATGCTAGTGATTAGTTGGCTCAGTGGTTCATTGAAGTGAGGCCATGGTCACCTGGAGACGTTGATAAGGAAAGACTAACATGGATATCATGCTTTGGCATTCCATGTCATGCATGCCCTGACTTCTTTTATTCTTTAACTTGCTCAATAGGGAAATATGTATGCGCAGGCGACGACAATAGGCTTCAAAAGAACTTTGATGTAGATAGAATACTTATTAGAACAAAGTATTCTCTGGTCCCCAATGAGACTATAAAAGTAGTGATAGATGACCATGTTTATCGTGTGAAATTGGTGGAAGGCTTGCATGGTCCCAAGCGTATTGTCATACCCAAAAACCACGAATCTTCATCAAAGGAATTTGAGATTTCTTCCTCAGATGAAGGAAATAGTATTTGGGAGAAGGATGGAGATGGGAGGGAAGACGATGTACTTATCAACATGATCTCTCTTTCCTAGGAAAAGTTAGTGGAAGATTTGATTGATATGGTGGCTATTCAACAAAACAACCATAACACTCAAGAACCTGCCACAAAGAACATCGTTGATGTATAAAAAAGTCCAAATGATGCCACAAAGGACTGCAACACCGTGGAGTAGGTGGAAAAACAGGTCGACAGTGGGTCCCATAAAGATAGAGCTCTAAGCAAAATAAAGGGCATGCAAAAGTCAACTTTGGCCTATGAGAAAAGGGTCGAACAATACCTTTTGGGCAATGGCATATGTTAGATTACCAGAATCCGGGGGAAGAAAAAGAAGGCGTGCAACTCTAAAGATGAGGTACTTGAGGGTGAAGCATCTGATCAAATATCAACTAGTCTGAATGGGCCTTTTAAAACAACTAATGTTAGGCCCAAGAAAGAAAATAAGAGAAAAACAATTGTTGGACGTATTAAGTAAGGTCGGGGGTCCAATAAAAAATAACTTTGAAACATTGAACATATTTATCCCACCAACCAATTTTATTCAATCCTAGCCTGCACAATCTTTGAATGAATCGGAAAAAAATTTGGGTGGTGCAATATTGTGTTTTGATTCCATATTTACTGAGACATCAAGCAAGGAAACAACATAGATCATAATAATTTGGAATTGGATGTAGCATCCAAAGTGTGGAGAACAATCAAGACACTTGGAATAGTTGGAGATGAGTCAGATAAGGTCTTTGAAGATATTATCAGGAATATGGAGGCTAGGGATCTCAAGGGTGCCAATGTGAGGAAGGAGTGTTCAAACAGTCCACCATGAATATTACATATATCAATATTAGAGGGTGTAGCTTGGCCATAAAAAGAAAAAGAATTAGGCACATTGTGAAGAAAGACAATGTGGATTTAATCTTTATTCAGGAGACAAAAAAACCTGGCATAAAGGAATCCATCATAAGAGAGATGTTGGAGGATTAAGGATGTGTCATGGTCAGCTTCAGTTGCAATTGGTCAATTTGGAGGGATATTGACTATATGGAAATGTGGGACTATAAAACCTATTCTGAGCTTTAAGGGCAATGGCTACTTAGGAGTCCAAGTTTTTCACAGAGGTTCCATAATATTTTTCTTGAGTGTATATACTCATCTTGTCATTTGGATGTTAAGAGAAGAACGTGGAGTGAGCTTTTGGAGTGGTAGAACAAATTAGGAGTTGGAGAATGGATAATTGGAGGAGATTTCGATTCAGTCAAACATCAAGATGAGAGGGTGGGAATCAGTAATAGATGTAATAGAATTGAGATGGAAGACTTTGCGTCTTTCATTGATTTATTGGAGGTAGCTGATCTTTCAACCATAGGAAATCAATTCACTTATTTCAGTTCAGATGGGAAAGCAAAAAATAGGCTAGATAGATTTTTTGTGTCTAAAGGCATCATTGATTCTTAGAAACTTGTTGCTCAAGAAATTGGTAGCAGGGATGTCTCTGATCACTGCCCAATATGGATCAACGGAAGTAAACAAAATTGGGACCCATACCTTTTAGATCAAACAATTGTTGGTTTGTGAAATTCTGGTATGCAGATCACATGTGTTCCAAGAACATTGATCTCTGCTCAACAAGGATGAGGGCAAACCATGGCCAATTTAAATTTCTTTAAATTGTCCCAATGTCACGACCTCTGTTGTGACATTTGCAGTCTGTCATACTATTTATCTAACCATTGAAAGTACAGAATTGTAAATGCAGAAAGATAAATAACACAGTAATTGTTCACCCAGTTCGGTATCAACAACACTTACATCTGGGCGCTACCAAGCCAGGGAGGAAATTCACTATTAGTAGAATAAATTCAAAGTAAAACCTCCAGTTTGCACTTCTCACTTAATCTCTACCCAATGACACTTCATACTAGAGACACTCTAGTACCTGAGTATACCCACTCACTCCCCCTCAATCACACAATAGTGATATCAAACAATTACAGAAATCAGTATGAAGAGACACTTCATACACACCTTGATCTTGCTTCACAACTTTGATCAAGGAACTCACACACTCTTGCTTCACAGCTTTGAGTGAGACACAACCTAGAATCTACCTAACCAATGCAATCATCAATCAGACAATTGCTTGGATTACAAGTATTTCTAAAAAGACTTTACACGT